TGTCCCTCTGTCACTCTCTCTCTATCTCTCTGTCTCTGTCTCTCTGTCCCTCTCTATCTCTCTGTCTCTCTCTGTCCCTCTCTCTCTGTCTCTCTGTGTCTCTGTCTCTCTCTGTCCCTCTCTATCTCTCTGTCTCTGTCTGTCCCTCTCTCTCTGTCTCTCTGTGTCTCTGTCTCTCTCTGTCCCTCTCTGTCTCTGTCTCTCTGTCCCTCTCTCTCTATCTCTCTGTATCTCTGTGTCTCTGTCTCTCTGTCTCTCTGTGTCCTTCTCTATTTCCCTGTCTCTCTCTGTCCCTCTCTCTCTATCTCTCTGTGTCTCTGTGTCTCTGTGTCTCTCTGTCCTCTATTTCCCTGTCTCTCTCTGTCCCTCTCTCTCGATCTCTCTGTTTCTGTCTCTCTCTGTCCCTCTGTCTCTCTGTCTTTGTTTCTGTCTTTATCTCTCTCTGTCTCTGTCTGTCTGTTTCTCTGTCTCTTTCTTTCTCTCTGCCTCTATCTGTCCCTCTCTCTTTCTGTCTTTCTCAGTCTCTGTCTCTCTCTGTCTCTTTGTCCCTCTCTGTCTGTCTCTCTGTCCCTCCCTGTCTCTCTCTGTTCCTTTCTCTGTCTATCTCTCTGTCTCTGTCCCTCTCTGTGTCTCTCTGTCCCTCTCTCTCTGCCTTTCTGTCTCTCTGCCTCTGTCTGTCTGTCTCTCCAGTATTTAGTTTCACGGAGTCCTTCCACCCGTTCAGATTCCCGCGTGTGTCGCCAGAAAGCCCCATGCCCGAGTGGTCTTCAGCATCACTCTTCCATGCGTGCTGCATCACTGCCCCTGGGGGCCACTAATCTGCCCCCCCAATTTCAACATTGTTACGTTGTAGAGGAACTTTAGTGTTCAAGATGCATCAAAACCCGAATGCGTCCATAGTCCTGTCCTCCTACTTCTGTAAACAGCATGCTAACCAAGATGACTTCAGGTCTAAGAGTGCTGCCTACTGACCCCCGTAACCAGCGCTTGAACCCATCTCATCAAAAGTCGGAAAGGAAACTGTGATCACAGGTGCAAGTGCAAGGAGACGTCTCGTGAGGTGGAGCAGCCATTCCTGGTGGAAACTTCCTGTCAGCGAGGAAGGAGGACATGTCCTCTCCTTGGTGGAGAACAGCAGCACGAGTGAACTGGCAGGGCACAGCTTGAGTCTCTCTGGAGAAGAGTGGTGGGGAGAGCACAGCCCATGGCCGCCTAATGCCCAGGCTAACCTACGCTGACCCTGACCCTGACCTGACCTTGACCCCGAGCCTGACCTGACCTTGACTCTCACCATGACCCTGACCCTGAACTGACCGTGAGTCTGACCTGAGCCTGACCTGACCCTGACCCTCACCATGACCTTGACCCTAACACTAACCTAACCCTGGCCCTGACCTTGACCCTGACCCTGACCCTAAGTCCTGGCAGATGTAGTCAGACCCAAAGAGGACGGGAGTTAAAGGGAGAGGGCGGAGAGGCACAACTGCTTGTGTGCTCTGGTGACATAATTACCTCAGAGAAAATCTAAGAGTTGACTCCTCCAAAACAACCTCCTGGTGGGGCCGGGGAGATGGCTCAGTAGAACAAGTCCTTCCCTGGCAAGAGCAAGGACCTGAGTTCAATCCCCGGTTTGAAAAAAACCCCAAACAAACAAACAAACAAACAAACAAAACAATAACAATCTCCTGGAGCTAATAGGCGGTTAGAACAAGGCTGCAGAGTGAAATGTTCAAACAACCAGTCGAGTATTTCCTACTGCACGGCAATGAACAAGTGGAATTTTGAAATCTGAGCAGCCCTGTGGCTACAGACAGAAAGAGCAGAGTACTCAAGAGGACGAGGGCGAGGAAAGGTTGTTGGTTAAAAGGGGGGTTTTCTTTTTAGCCAGATGTGGTAGCTCGCACCTCTAATCCCAGCGCCCTGGGAGGCTGAGGCAGGAGGACAGAGCTCATGCCCAGCTAGTTGGCTGCTTGTCGTGTGCAGTGCTGCCTCCTCGGGGTCTTGGTGTGACGGCTGCGTTGGCCATCGTGACCCAAGCACCTGGGCTCTGCAGCCAGGTCGTAGCGGCTCGTGTATCTCTTACTGCTGCAGGCTGTCGCCCTGCTTGAGCTTCATGTGCGGCTGCTGGCCTACTTTGCAGGCTGTGGCTCATTGAAGGATAGATTTCCGTGGCCTTGTGCCACTTCAGTCCATGTGGCATGCCAGGTGCGTCTGCAGCTGCTGGTCGTCTCGGACACTGTGCCCAGGAGGGACCAGCCAGTTTCTCCATGTGCAGTGTCAGATCCCTCCGTGGGGACTGGAGTCTTGGCACTGGAGAAGGGAGGCTTGGCAGGCCAGGCCCTTGTCAGGCCGCAAGTCCTCCTGCAGTCGGGCAGCGAGGGGCTCCAGCCAGGCCACTCTGGGCCTCTGTGTGTTCAGTGTCTGGGCTGAGCTTGTGGTGGGTCCTATGTGCCCGTGTGTCCCTGGGCTCTCTTCCCACCTCCTTGGGAGGAGTTGGTCCTGGCTGCCTGTTTTCACCAGGTGCCCCTCGGGGTCGTGGGCTGGCCTGGTGCTGCCAGAGAGCAGGGGTTCCGAGTGAGGTGGGGCCGCCTGTCTTGCTACGTGGTTGCTTGGAAGTGTGGTAGAAGTCTAGTCAGCTTCCTGGGCTGGGTGCAGGGGGGGCTCCTCCTGCGGCGCTGCTCCTGCCTGGGTCTCCTCTCTCTGGAGGCTGCCTGTGAGGTCTGAGCGGTGCCGGTGTCCGAGGTGCTTACGGGGGGGGGGGGGGAGCAGCGAGCGAGGGGCTTGCCCCGATGCGGCGGGAACCCCTTGCCAGGTCCTCCTGATGCGATCCCAGAGCCTGTGTGTCCCCGGCCCCCGGCTCCCGGCCTCTGCTTCCGTAACCCCTTGCTCTGGGGTCTGCTGCGGGCGCGGGTCTGAGGACGGCGCTCTGTGATGCCGAGGCTGCCGGGCCAGTGCTGGGGCTCAGGCTGTGTTCACGTGCGACGGTTTTCCTACAGCTTCTTGTGGATTAATTGCTTTGTTTTTAAAATGCATTTTACTGAGATTTAAAAGCTGGAGTCATAAATGATGTATGTTACATATTATAGGAATTTGCTTTACTTTTGTAGCTTTGGTTTCTAATATTACATTATTTTATTATATTTAATGCTTTAAAGTTATTTTGAACATTATCTTTTGTTATTTATTAGCATTTATTTCATATTGCATGATTTCATATTTTATGTTGAATGATTTATATACATTCTAATAGTTCAGTAAATATTAAATTATTAAATTGTTGAAAGTTGGACTTTCTTGATATTTATATATTTTGTTGTTTATTTACAGGAATATCTCATGCATTTGTTGTTTATTGTTTTCTCCAAATCATTTATTTTTAAAATTTGTCTTCCTTCTGGTTTCCTTAGATTTTTCTGTGTATTTTCTACACATGTTAAGTAAATTTTTATTTGATTAGTTTTTACTTTTTAATTTAATCACAAATATATTTGAGCATGAATTTTGGTTATAAATAATATATTTCAACAGCTAATGTTATTACCATCCTTTTTTCTTATATGATCATTTCCAGAGTTTATTCCTGAAATTAAAGTTATTTGTAGCAATGTTGTAAAATTACAATTCAATAATCTAAAAATTTTTACAGAAACTTTATTAATTATTCATAATACATACCTAAGCAATTGATTAGTTTTGATATTTTACTGATATTTGTCCTAACAGCAGTTTCAGTGAATTTTTCTTGAGTATTTGAGTACTAGAGGTGTGCATATATAAAATAAAGTAGGATACCTGAAGTTTTAGTAACTTGCTGGATGCGGCCTACGTGCTTGCACACGTAAGTGCTTGTGTGTGCACACGCATTCGTGGACGTTAGATTGAAGTCTTTGTAAATCTGCGTTGGCGTCATCCTTGACAGCCTCCAGCCTCCTCCACTGTCCCTCGTGCGCCTGCTGACCAGTGAGGCCGAGTCGCTGCGCACGGAGCACTTGGGACCTGGCCCGCCTGGTGCCGGGACGATGAACTAGTCCTCCATCTGCGCAGCTGCAGTCGCCGGCCGTTTTCCTGGAAGGCCGGCCCTGGGGGCTCAGAGCTTGCCTCTGCTGTCGCACTGGCTGTCCCCAGCGGGGGTCACCAAGAGCGACCCCTGGTGGCCCCCGGAGATATGGCAGGAGTCTCAGGCCTTCCTCGCTGTCTGGCAGCGAGCCCCTGCCCAGTATTAAATATAATAAAGTGGCCATGGACGTCTTCACAGCTATAGCTGTATATTGCACTGAGATTTTTTTTCCCTAGGAAGAACCTTTTTATCTTGAGAGAGAGACAGGCATGTGCAGTTTTATGCATAAAGCGCTGCGACTGTGCATATTTTATGACATCAAATCATTTTATGAAAGACTTACAGCAGGGACTCTGCCAGGAGCAGGAAAGGAATCGGCACCCCAGTTTTACTCTGTGCTCCCCGGGGGAGGTGTGAATGGGGGTGGCGTTTTGGAGGAGGGACACAGGTAGGCGCGGCCTTGGTTAGAATGCAGGGGCCGCACACGCCCACCCTAGCGAGGCTCACTGGGGGTAGAGGTGCCTGTCGGGGTCACCGGGGCAGGGCGTGCTGTGCAGCCAGGGGCCCCCCATCCTGCAGGGGACAATCGCAGGTCTTTGCTCTGCTCACTGAGTCAGGCGTGCTGCATGCTGGTCTTGGAGCCGCTGCCCGACTGAAGATGCATCCGAAAGTGCAACAGCTGCGTAAGACTCACGCCAGTGTGCTTTTCTCTTGCAGGCTAATTACACTTTTTATTTTGTGGACAAATTAAAAACCTTATCAGAAACATTGCTGAAGATGTCCAGCCTTTTCCAGGGAAGCGCAAGTGGACAGATGTTCAGCCAGCTGCAGGTGGGTGGGGCACGCCCTGTCAGGGTCCGAGGTGCAGGCTGCCCTGCAGAAGATCCCAGCCAATGAGCAGAGTGTCTATAAAATTGGGTGCACTTGCAGACTTTCTGTGAGTTTTTGGTGCTTTACTCCATGCAAGGTGGTGGAACTACTATGAGATGAAGGATTTATTGGCAGTCACCTGTGCTTTAAATTCTACGTTAAGTTTAATGCTTTTTAGGTAATTTCCATTCTTCCTGGTTATACATCTACTGTGGTGATTGACAATCATTTCCTACTTCTCTAAGTTTGACAAAGTAACTGGGTTATGGTCTAAGATGCCCAACTTCTTCAGGGCCAGGCAATCACTGCTAGAAAGTGTTAGCTTGAGGAGTTTACCTTTTAACTCTAGGGAGACTTGGGGGAACCAAGTTGAATTTAAATCTGGTAAGTTGAGACAACAGCCGTTTCTGTGCACGTCCCGGCTGTTTACTGCCCACTGACAAGCCTTTGGGGCCCTGGAGTTGGGCCTGGATCATCTGGGTTGGTTCTAGGCTCCACCACCGTCCACTGCTCTGTGGCCTGTGCTGAGCACGGGGCCTTTCCGCACCATGGGCTTCCTCCTGTGCAATCAGGAAGTCATGGACCCTGGGAGGTGAAGTGGGTTGTGGGACGCAAAGCATTTGGAGTGGGCTTTGTGGTGGAGACGCTCCTGCGTGGTTCCAGGTTCCCCCGGCAGCCGAGATGAGCACACGTCTTATCATGGGGCACAGCTGTTAGCATGAAAGAAGAGGTCCGGGGCCAGGCCAGGGCGAGGTCACCCTGACCGCAGGGGCCCACGAGAGGTAGGTAATGTGGCCGCGCCCTGGCCTGTCATGCAGTTGAAGGAGCGTCAGGCCGGCTGTGCAGGACCATGAGCAGAAGCCGGTTGCCAGCCGGAGTCCCTGGTCAGCGGTGCCCGGGACCAGGATACAAGCGCTGGGCAGGCAGCAGGGGCCTTGTCCCTCTGGTCCTAGTGGCTGAGGTCTGTGCTGCTTGGTGACAGCAGCTCTGTGTCTGAGCTAGTTACATCAGTCTTTAAGTTGTTTGCTTGTGGGTTCCTTTGTTAATACAGAGATCAGTAACCTTCCAACTGTGTCTGGATAGAAAAGGGCGAGGCTTGGGTCAGGTTCCCTCTGCCACTGTGGACGGCGGGTAAGCATCCCCAGAGCCAGACCCACGATGCCCAGAGGGCCGCGGGGTCAGGACGCTGCACCCGACTGCTGCACGCATCTGGGAGCTCCTGGAGAAACGCAGGGCTTAGCTGAGTACTGTTTGTAAAGTCACATGCTTCTCCAGAGAAGATTTGTTTATCTTATAGAGGATACAAAATCCTGGATTATTACCCTCTTTCTTCCAGTCTATCCCTCCCTCCCTCTCTTTCTCCCTTCCTCCATTTCTCTTCCTCCCTCCCTCCCCCTCCCTCTCTCCCGCCACTCTCTCCTCCCTCCCATACTTCCTCCCTTTGTCTTCTCTTCCTCCCTCCATCCCTTCCCTCCTCCCTCTGTTCTCCCTCCTCCCTCTCCCCTCCCTTCATCTTTACCTCCCCCTTTGCTCCTTTCCTCCCTCTGTAGTACTGGGGATTGAACCCAGGGTCTTTACATTGAGTTACACTCCCAGCACTTTTAGGAAACAGAGTCTAGATAAGTCACTAAATTGTCCAAGTTCAGTTTGAAGTTGTGATCCTCCTGCTTCAGACTCCCAGAGTGCTGGGATTATAGGCGCTCACCTCCACGCCTGGCTTGTAAATTCTTACTGTTGGCAGCTCTGGGTTCATGCTCAGGGCAAGCTGTCTGTGCTGGGGTTTGGAGTGGAGTCTGTACCTGGCTCTGCTGCCAGTGCCCCTGGTGGGGCTTGGGACTTGGCCCTGTCTGCTTTTGCCATCTGTAAAAGGCAGCTGTCCTGTCCTCCTGAGGTGCTGCTGAGATTAAGTGACAGCATACACACTATAGGACCTGCATTGTTGTCTGACAAACAGCTAGCGTCTGATAAAAGAAAGTAAATAAGATTTTTTTTTGTATTTTTTAGGGAGGGGTCTACAGGGTGGTCAGGGTCTCATTACTAGATTGGACTCATAGTGATCCACCTGTTTACAGCCTTTCAAGAGTTGGGATTACAGGCGGGTGCCACCATGCCCAGTCTCAGATTTTTTTTTTTTTTTTAAGAAAAGCAAACAAACAGATTTCTGAATAGTTCTGTTCTCCTGGCAGGATCAGATGAAGCCAGCACACATGAGCGTGGGCAGAGGGGCTCGCTGTGGAGGGTCCTGCTTATTGGGCATCACTGACCCGAGACACCTGGTGCCAGTTACTGGGCTAGCAGGCTCCAGAGAGCGTAGATTTCCTCTCTGAGCAGCAACGTGATCCCAAACTCGTGCCTTCCACGTCTTGCTGCCGGGGCGGAGCGCCACTACATCCACATTTCTCCCTCACCGCTGTGGTCCACTTTGGCACGTGGAAGAGCAGTGCGAATGAGCTCTCGCTGCCTGCCACGGCCAAGTGCGAGATTTGTGGAGCCGGTGAAAGTGATTTTGGAAAGCTCGTCAGGGTAATATAACCAGGGACCAATGAGAGAGAGGGACCGTGGGGTGGGGGAACGATCCAGAGAGGGACAGGAAGTGGGACGGGGGTGTGTGTGGGACGCTCTGTCCTCGAGGGTGTGCGATGGTGCTGGTGCACTGTACCTGGCCCTTGGCAAGGCCACGTACAGGACGGATCTCCCAGCAAGCAGTCACCACGTGGCTTCATTCGAAGACCGTAGCCCCACAACACTGATGCGAACTTTGGTTTTCAATTCTAACGCATAATTACAATGCTTATCTAAATGCTTATAGTTGTAAAATAAATAAATGTTTATAGTTCTTACCTTTTATTTTCAAGAAAAAGACTTTCACTAAATATTAACTTGTTAGCCATTATGTTTAGAAATTATTTCTTCTTCTTAATGTTGTTATTATTATTATTATTTCAGTGCTGGGGGCAAACCCAGGCTTTTGTGCAGACCCACAACCCAAATACTTTTAATAAACTTAAATGCTGAAACAAGGTCTCCTTAAGTTTCTGGGTTGTCCAGGCCAAGTTCAGTCTTGTAATTCTCCTGCCTCAGCCTCCCAGAGTGCTGGGAAGGTAGGTGTGTGTTAGTGTCCAGCTTGAATATTTTTTAAGTGGTTTCACTTTGTGTATCCTTTTTTGGTGTCACAAGCCTTTGGCTAAGGCTAAAACAAGTGTCACTGAATAGGAGGATCTCGATGTACTGTCTGTGAAACTGTGTTTTTCCCTTAGGAAGCCTTAAGAAACAAATTTATAAGAAGCTTTGTGGAAAGCCAGCTGCGCGTGGATGCGGGCAGCCTCCTGGGAGACCTCCGGCGCTATGGTAAGCGGGCACGCTGTGTGCAGCTAGGGTGCCCAGCCAGTCCTACCCCTGCCCAGGATGCTGTGCTGTCAGCTCACTTCCGCCTCTCACTCCTCCTGCTGGGATCACAGCGTGTGCCGCCGTGCCCGCTCTCCCTTGCCGTTCACACCTTGGTAGGAATTGGTTATGCTTTGAGCATACGTTCCTTCCGGGTTCAGCATCACGGCCTTCGATGTTGGGCCCCTCGCAGTCTTTCTTGGCTTTGCATGGTTAGAGTTGCTGACTGAGTTCCAGCTGTGAAGCTTCCCTGACCATTCCTCTGCTGGTTGCTTCCCCTGGCCTTGCCAGGACCAGCTCTCCTAAGACGTTAGGGACCGATACATATTCTCCATTGCAGAGCCAGGCTGTACTTGGAACTGACGCTTCCCTTTTCAGTCGTGTTTTCCTTCTCCAGTGTTCACCTTTCCTGCTTTGGCTTAAAGCAATCCGCTGTCCCCTCCACCCTCTGCACGCCGCCCCTTCTTTGGGGAGACCAGGATTCATGCCTTCCACACCCTCATTATCCTTTTATTTGGATGTCTGGTGGGTTTGAAAAGAAGAGGCACTGCAGAGAGAAACACTTCCTAATTTTACCCAGCAAGATCTTGGTTTTATGTGCAAATCATGTGGAAATATTTCCTGTTCCCTTCACTGATAATTTGAAATTGATACAAGAATTAGTGCCTCATCTTTTGCTCTTATCTTTCTTCCTTTTCTTCTTCCCCTTTTCTTTGTCTTTTTCCTTTTCCTCCCCCTCCTCCTCCTTCATTAAAAACCAATGTCATTTCTATCCTTAGAGTATTTTTTTAAATAAAACTTTGCTACTGTATTTTGTTATCTAATTCTGAATTCTCTCTTCAATACTGGGTGAGACTAGATCTCACCTGAGAACTTCATACATGCTCAGAGCATGATGAGTTCAGCTCTTGTCAGTGACCCTCCCCCTCTTCCAGGGGCGGTTTCTCCCTGGGGACAGTGGGGATATTTACAGGTGTGTTGGTTGTCACAGCTGGGCAGGTGCTCTAGGACCCCCCAGAAGAGGCCAGGAACACTAGGGAAACCCTGGAGCATGCAGAACAGGCTTGCACGAGGAGTTACAGCCACAAATGGCTCCATGTGTGGAAGAAGACCCCTCCCTGGGAGCAGCAGGAGGGAGCCACTTGTGGAGGGCAGTTTCCAGGGCAGGCACCCTAGGATCCCAGGCCCCGTCTGACTCCGTGGCGGATGCACGCTCTATTTCCAGTCCCTGGTTACAGTCACTGACCAGGTTTGGTTTTGTTGGGGTTTTTGTGGAACTGGGGATTGAACTCAGGCCCGTGCGCTTGCCAGGGAAGCACTTATTTCACTGAGCCATCTCCCCGGCCCTACAACCACTGACCAGGAAGCAGTGGTCATGTTCTGTTGCCTGGATTCTGGAGCCGCATTACTGTAGCCCTGCACCCGACGCCGTTCTCTGCTCAGCTGAGTGTGAGCTGCAGGGCCTGGGCTTCCCCAAGGGCTAAGAGCAGGCAGTCTCTCCTAGGGATCCTGATCCCCTGCCCTTGCCATTACCTTGCTGTGTGCTGCAGGAGCCGGAGTGGGTCCAAAGGCAAGGGCCAGCTTCCAGGCCTCCCCGGGGCTCCTTGTTCCTTGCTCTGCTTTCTGTCCTCTCCACGGCAGTGCCTGTGTCCTCCACAGGTGGGAGAGCACAGAAGGGGTGACCACAGGGACAAAGTGAGTGGTCAGGTCTGACTACCTTTTGTGTTTTGATGTCCAATTGCTGTGCCCGAACAGATGTCCTGCTGTGGAGGAGCAGCGCAGTGTCCTCCTTCACAGGAACTGTGTGTGCATGCATGCGCGCGCGCGCGCGTGTGTGTGTGTGTGTACATGTGGGCACACACTCCGCCATGTGGGATACAGCAGCCCCTTGTCGTCTACAGTTGTTCCGAGGCCCCATTTTTTTCTCTGTAATTTTTTTTATGTATTTAATACAAGGTCTACAGGGTCTCCCTGCACAGATGGGTGCAGTGATCCTCCTGTTTTCAGTCTCTCAAGCTCTGGGGTTACAGGCATGTGCCACCACACCTGGACCTAGTTGCCATCTCAGTGTGCCCCTGGGAGTGAGGCTGGTATGGCTTGCTGGGGATCAAGTCTCGGTCCCTGCGCCTGCCTAAACAGGTGCTTTAGTCTGTTGAGCTATCTGGCCAGCCTGTAGGGCCCATTTCTTCTCTTTGTTTGTTTGTTGTTTTTTTTTTAATGTATCAGTTATTTAATTAGGTTCTTAGTGAAAAATTTAGAACACTAATTTATGAGGATAAATTCCATTTGTCAGAGCAAAATCGGATCACAGGTAGCCCTGGAGTTGAGGAACAGCTTTGATTTTTGCTAAAATCTGTGAGTCCACCGCTTTCTGATCCACCTTGTGCTGCTCTGAAGTCTGGTATCTCTTTCTTGGTGTCGAAGACCTCGCTGCCCCTCTTCCCCATTGTCTGGGTTTCCGCAGTTTCTTCTTGAAGTAAGCATCAGTGAGGTGTTTGGGGATTTTCACTTTGCTGGTATCAATTTTTGTAGAGGTGGCAATGACATATTTCTGGTGTGTTCTTCATAGAGAAACGTGATTAAGGTTCAGAGGCCCAGTCACAAGTAGCAAGCCACTGGCCAGCTGCTTCAGGAAGACCACTCTCTTGCCTCTGTGACGCCCGGTGAGGATGATCAAGATGGAGGGATGCTAGCTTGAAGTGTCCTCACTTGCTGACTGAAGGGCTTCTTGCGTGGCTCAAGAGCTTTCGGGGCACATCATCAGTAGGGCAGTATCTAGGCATTTTTCAAAGCCTAACCACCAACTACCTCCATTCTTGTCCCCACCGACCGGTTTTGTGATGGTAGCATGAACTTTCTCCTTCTTTTTCTTCTCAACCTTTGATTCAGCAGCTGTGTACTTGCTCTTGTACAAAGCCTTTCCGGAATACATAGCAGACTGGGAGTGTCTGCTGATTCCTCTAACCAGGACAGGATTTCAGCTGCAGTGGGCCTGCCCCTTCTTGCACTTTTTTTGCCTTCACCTTACCCTTTTTACCAGTACCACTGGCAGCAACTTCCTTGGCTTCAGGTTTCTTTTCTTTAGTGTCTGAATTCTCAGTTTTTTTGTCTGCCATCTTACAAGATGAGAAAGAGAACTAAGTTTCCTAGGTACCATTTTGACACCAGTCTACAGCTGCTCGGGTCCCTGCTACACAATGTTGAGCTGTGTCACAAAATCCACTCAGATCTCCCCATAGTCCGTGTGTCATCGCTCACTGCTTAGAATCCTGACACGGTGTACATGGTATGTAAATGACATGTAAATGATATGTAAATGGCACATAAATGATAGCATAAGGCATGGTTCAGGGGAACATGATAAGAAGAGTCAGCCTACTTGGTACTAATGCTATTTATTAATGATATATTTGCTTAAGATGGGCTGAGTCCACAGATGCAGAACCACAGATATAGGGGGCTGACCATACACATATGCACACACACACGTGCGTGTGCAAAGTCTTATTTTTCTCTTTCTAAGACTGAATACCCCAAACCCAAAGTTAAAGGGGGAAAGGTATATTTAGCTCGCAGTTTGTAGAGGTTTCAGGTTAGGGTGGCATGGCACAGGGGCACCTGTTCATGGCAGAAGGTAGCAAAGAATCAAGCAGAGGTCTTAATAGTGTCTTTCTTCCCTTGTTTGATCTTTCCCAGGCTGCTCAGGATAATCCCATGGATAATCCCAGCATCACACACTCTAGGTTCAGGTGCCTGTGACAGAGCCCCATCTATGATCACAGGAGACTTTGGGGGGCCATCTACACACAAGCCACCACACACACACACACACACACACACACACCCCTATGCTTATAAGAGGTGTATTTCTCTGCCTCTTTGTCATGCAATTATATATGATCTAGCTTTTTAAAGGCTTCCTTTTAAGCAGCTTTGGTTTTTCCCTTGAAGACAGTGAAGGCTCCCCTCTATGAGGTCAGGTCACCCTTCCTTGTGTTTACCATCTGGCATTATGTGCAGCTCGACGGTCTAATCAAGCTTTCCAGGCAGGCGTGTAAGTGGCACATTCTATGACAAAAGGTCAGTGCATAAGATGCACTACAAAAACTCTGTAAAATTAAGCTTTCTCCAATTCAACGTAAAGATATGAAAGGCCCCCACTGTGGACAGAGGGGCTTTGGCTGTTCAGCTTTCCAGATGTCCTCTTGAGGTGCACGGAGAGGTGGACAGTTGGCTGGCGCCTGCCCCTCTCTCAGCAATTATAAACATGGCTGTGGCCGTCATTCAGTGTCACTTCTGATGACATCAGCAATCCTTACTTGTGTGTGCATACACAGAGTAACTTGATATTTATATATAATAAACATTTACATATTTTAAAATATTTTATCATTTTCATGATTTTATATGGTAAATTATATAACATTTACATGTAAACATTTATATAAATGTATATATCCACATTGTGTATATATGCACATATACATCTCTCTATATCCGGCTGTGTATAATTTTCCCAGCAGCCTCATGTCTGTGAGCTTTCCGCACAGACATGAGGAGGTAGAGATGGTGACCGATCTCGACCTGAGATGGGCACAATGCTGCATGGGCTGCCGTCTCCCCGATTGCAGTGTCCCCAGTCGCAGCCCCTGTGTCCACTGCCTGGCAGGAGGGACCTCCAGAGCCAGGCGCAGGCGCTCCAGCAGGGTCCTGGCGCACACAGCCCGTCACCAGTCTCCCCGCGGATGCCGCGGGCGGCCCGGCCCTGCAGCCTGGCTGGAGTGTGGGTGGGCTTGGCAGCCTGGAGACCCCTGAGCACTGCTTTGCTGGCCCATGCTACCCTATTGTGCCTCTGCCGGAAATCCATCTCACAGATTAACAAGCCGGCTGGGACCCCACACCGTGCACACGTCCTGCGCGGCCCGGTTCCGCCCGCTGTGCCTCATGCCTTCCTGCGTCCGATCTCACAGTGACTGAGTGGGCCGTCCCCATCCCTGCTGCAGCTGGTGCTGTCCCCCCTGTGTCCCTCAGACTGCAGGGCCCAGGGCCCAGCAGAGAGCCTGCATCTCCATCTGCAGCCCGCCAAACACCCTGTGCCCTCCGGCTCTGTGGATTGATGGTGGCCACACCAGCTCACTGTCCAGCAGGCCCATCAGAGCCAAGGCCACTGGTGCCGAGGATCCGACCCACCCCAAGGGATTTGCAGTGCTCTTTCTGGGCTCCCGTACCCGACTCTATCCACCACTGAGGACGTCCCTTCCCAGTTGGGGGGCTTAGCACACCCCAAGGTGGAATACCCTGACTCGTAGTTCCTCTCCAGCTGTATCATCCAAAGTACAGCCGAAGGGCCTTTCCTGCCTTCCGCGTCAGAGCCACTGGCTGTGACCGTGGGGAGAGATGAACACTGCCAGGCAATCATGTTTCTGCTGTTACCAGGGATGCTAGTGTGAGCTGTTTTCTTCTCAGTGGGTGAGCTGCAGCTGAGCTCCGAAGTGCAGAAAGCTGGTGTCTCCCAGCTGCTTGAGACTGGAATAAACAGGAGAGAGTGATGGCGGTGATTCGCAGGATGACTTTGCGTGGTTTTATGATCTGCTGTGGGTTTCTGTGCACAGGGTGAAATGTGTGTGCTCACTTCTCACTTCTTTACAAAATCCTGCCTGGGTAAAAAGGTCTGCTGTGCAGACCCCAACCACCAGGTGCGCAGCCTCCTCCTGCGGCACACTCGGTCCTCCGTACAGAGCCCTGCCTGGTGGCCTGGGGCCACGATGTAGCACCCAGGCAGCACCTGCGCACAGCAAACTTGGGAAGCCGCTCCTGGCCCACCACGGAACCCTCATGCCTCCTGTGCGCTCCCTCCGCACACGGCCTTTCTCCAGGTCATTCACTTTCCTCAGCTCCTTCCTGAAGCTGAGTGAGAGTACCAAGACCAACTCAGTGGTTTGTCCTGAGAGAAGGCTGCAGCTGCCCTTCCAGAGCCCCAGTGTCACCAATGTTCGTGTGCTGTTGCCTCCTCTTCCCGGGCACAGATCCAGGACATGGACTGTAGTCCAGAGTCTGAGGATGGGGTTTCTTAATGGGAAAAACGTGTGATCATTGTTTTTGCAAGGTTGGTGTCAGAAAGTGACTTTGGAGAAGGCATTTGTTATGGCTTATGTGTCCTCATCCAAGTCTCGTGTGCTCATAGGTGGGGCTTTCAGAGGTCCCTGGATCATCAGTGTCAGCAGGTGGTGCTGGGGATCGCACCCCACTCCCTGCGCTTGCCTCAGCAGGCGATTAGTCCACTGAATTATCTTACCGGCACTTGTTATTCCTCGGCTCTTTGATGCTGTCATTCCTTCTGTCACATGAGATGGAATCTTAATATTGTTTTACCTTGCAGTTCTCCAGTGGCCAGAGACGGAGAACATCTCTCCACAGAGTTGTTGGCCATTTTTACTTCTAAGAAGTGTCTGTTCATGTCGCTTGCCCTTTTCTTGGTTGGGCCTTTTTATTTTAGGATTATTTTTTTGAGGTCTTCGTATATTCTAGAAATTAGCCTTTGCAGCACAGCTGGCATTTTCCCCATTCCGTTGTCATCTCTTCATTCCTTTGCTGTGCAGAAGTTGTGAACTTTGATGCAGTCCTGTTCGTTGGCGCTTGCTGTTACTTCTTGTGCAACTGGAATGCTGTTCACGAAGTTTTTGCCTGTGTTTGTGTCTTTAAATGTTTTGCTTATTTTATCTTCCAGTGCGCTCAGTGTTTCTGTATTAATTTTAGATCTTTGACCTATTTTGGTTTGACCAAGCTTGCAAAAACATGGTGAGAAATATGAGGGCAGCTTCAACCTTCTGCAAATAGCCAGTTTTCTCTTCTTATTGAATAGGCTATCTTTCCCACCATGTATGCTCTAGGCTGCTTTGTTGAAGCTCAGATGCCTAAACGTGCCCAGAGAGCTTTCTGTGTTCTCTACCCTGTCTCGTCGGTTCATGTGTCTGCTTCTGCTCCAGGACCACGCTGTTCTTATCACTGTTGTTTTGTAAGAAAGTGCAGCTGAAAGTCAGGTGCTGCGATGCCTCCTGCTTCGCTCTTGTTACCCCATATTGCTTTGCTACTCTCGGTCTCTTTGGGTGTCAAATGAACTGTAGAGTTGTTTCTCTAGTTCCATGATGAATGTTAATGTTTTGATTGAGATTACGTTGCATCTGTAGACCAGTCTTGGAAACATGGCTATTCTGACAGCACTGGCTCTGTCCGTCCAGGAGCCAGGGACATCTGGCCACTTTCTGGCATCCTTGTCAATCTCCCTTTCCCGCGTACTGCAGTTTTCATTATGGAGGGGCTCTGCTTCTTTGGCTAGTTTAATTCCTGGGTATTTCTTGTGCTATGGTGAGTGATATTGTTTGCATGACATATTTCTCACTGAGTTCATTATTGGTGTGCACAGATGCTGTTGATTTTTGCATCCTGCTACATTGCTGCCATTGGTTGGTACTTCCATGGGATTTGTGGTCAAGTTCTTTGGGTCTTCTGCATACAGCGGCATGTCACCAGCACATAGTGACGATTTGAGTGCTTCCTTTCCTGAATGTGTTTTAGGCCTTAGACTTTTCCCTTCTGTTTTGATTCTGTTGTCCTCCTGCTGCAGCCACGGGCTTCTGGGTGACAGTCTTACCTTTGTGTGTGAACTGTTTCTCCACTCACACGTGTCAGCATTGCAGAGAACATATATAAAAAGGTAACAGTTGTTGTGCCGGCCCTGCCCATGGGGCGCACTGAGACTATGACTGAGACTGCGCATGTGGCGTGCCTGTAATCCCAGCGATTGGGAGGTCGAAAACAGGAGGATCACTACGAGTCCAATCTGCGTAGTGAGACTCTGTAGACCCTGTCCTAAATACATAAAAAAAGGTAACACACCATCTTTTCATCTGTGTTAACTATTTTTTAAACTTAGATGTGTCAGCATTGCACAAAACACATATAAAAGGTGGAGAGCTTGTGTTCAGCAAATCCATGGCAATTTTTGCATGTGATCCAATTTTGACTTCTTTCTGAGTATTTTTTTAAGGAAGGCGTTTTGCAAGTCATTCACACAATCCCCACTGGATGAGCGGGAAGCAGCGAGGTGGAAGAGGAGCAGATGTATGCGTTCTGATTTTCTTGCTTTTCCAGGAGGGATGCTGGACAAGGTCTTTAACCACACAGGGGCTGGGCACTTCCGTTTCCTGGGCAGTGCCCTGGTCAACCTCTCCTCCTGTGTGCTGCTGGACCGCTTCCGGGCCGTGGAGTCAGAGGACGTCCTGGAATCAGAAGCACACAAGCTCATGCGGCAGAACGAGTTCTTGGCCAGTAAGTAACAGACGAAAATGGTCACAGAGACCCTGGCTCCTTAGGCTGGCGTCTCATGTGATTTCCCCTAACAGTGTTTCATGTTGGCTCAGAGAAAAGTGAAGCCTTTCCAAGATAACACATAAAATAAAGCAGAAATACACATATGGAGTTAATGAGCAGATGTGTCTCATGCCACAGTGACTGAGAATAATGGCACCAGAGGTCTCTGTTCTTACTATTTCTTATCATTATTTATGGTTAAATCTCATGTGATATGTAACAATTTTGTTAACCAAAGTTATATTCTAATTTCCTTCATGCCCTTTATTTATTTTTATCCTAATGTCTTATTCTTATGGGTGGAGGGTGGGAAAATACAGTGGTCAGTTAGAGTCCACTGCTGGCTGTATACTTGTTCAAATAGATACCGTGCATGCCTGTAGGTTCCCCTTGAACCGACCTTTAATTATTACCTTTGTTTTGGGGGCTGGGGATGGAACTTATCGCCACAGGTGCGAGGTAAATGGGTGCTCTGTCCCGAGCCATATCCTTGCTCCTTCTCCTGTGCTTCATTGAGATTTTGTGCCGGTTTGCCAGGGCTGTCCCCATGAGGTGCTGCAGGGGGCTGACTTAGCCAACAGAAATCCTTGGTCTTTCTAGGGACAGGAAGTGCAGAATGAAAGCATCGCTGGGTTTCTTCTGAGGGCCGAGAGGGGTCGTTACTGTGTTGTATCTCTCACTGCTTGAAGCCTTGCCTGTCTGTACCTTTATGTCTGGCTTTCCACATTGTGTGAGGACACCATCGCATTGAATGGGGGCCCACCCTGAGGACCTCATGTTAACTCTTCGAGCGCTCTGTACATGCCGTCTGCACTCACCCCTCAAGGTCCTGGGGTGAGGACCTTGTCATATATGTTTTCGGGGAGGCAGTTTAGTTCACGTCAGATGTGATCATGGAACTCAAGCCACGTGGCAGGAAACACGGCCCGTGTACTTAGGTTGTGGGCGCTGGCCCGCGGGGATGGGCTGGGGGCCTCATCTCACACCTGCAGCTCCAGGGAAGGGCTGCTGCTTACTATTTGAGTGGCCCTGAGTAATTTTTTCAAGCCCTGGAAAAAACAAATAATGTCTTTGTGCTGATGGCAACACAGCACGATTTTCTTTTTCTTTTTTAAAATTTTTTAAAATTTTTTTCCATAATTTTATTGATAAACAGATAGCAATGAGACAGTTTCAAATCAAATCGCTAGGACAGTTTCAATAACACACTGCATACATTCTTCTTAGTGGTTAATTGCAGTACAAGATGTGGACTTGAGATCCCATTTACAAACACCATTAGAACAAACCATTCTATTCATTAAGAGAATGCAACTATATATCTATCCCAACCACTTTGAATACACAGATACAAAATGGACATTCATCGGCATACCCCATTTGTTCTAAGTTCCGTTATTGAATATTATAGGTGTGTAAACTCAGCAAAATATTCTAAAAGAGTCCAGTAGCCCATAATAGCATTGGGTCTTCTGTTTAACTGGCAATGTCAGAAATTATTGACCTGAGTCCCCCACAGCTCAACTTAACAGCATGGCTTTACTTCTTATATTTTGTTTTTATACTTTTCGGCTGGGTGATTAAGACCAAGGTAAAGCAGGACCTATGCAACAAGAGTTGTAGCTTTTGGGTCTGAGAAGATCAGTGAAATCCCCTCAGGATTTATCCTGAGATCCTGTACCTCAGATTGTAGAACCTTTGTCAGTGCAGCCATGTGGATGAGTCATGGCCATTACTTGGCCAACACAGCACGATTTTCTTGAAAAGAAAAGATTCGTTGGACCGGGAGTGAGGTCTTGGCTCAGTGTGGCCTCCAGGAGCCTGTGGAGCTGCACGTGCTCCTGGCTTTCTGGGGCCAGACATCCCCACCCCCTGCAAAAGGAGAGGGAGGTGTGTGCCCCTCCCTGAGCTCTGGCGGTGCTTACCTGGCCTTCTCTGCCACAGGTGTCATCTTTAACAGTTCCTCGGTTGGCAAGAGCTTCAGATCAGCATCTCGCGGGTTGCTGCCCCATGTCACGTACACCCTTCGCACCAGCATCTTATACAGCATGAGGACAGATTTGATAAAAAATCCTTCCTGGAAGTTCCATCCTCAGAGTCTGCCGGCAGATGGGTTCAAATATAACTACATCTTTGTGCCACTGCAAGACATGATCGAGAGGGCCATTGCTGAGGTCCAGACTGGGCAGGAAGTCTTGGAGCCGACGACCCAGGCGCAGGCCGCCCCCTATCCATGCCACACCAGTGACCTGTGAGTAGCTGTCACCTGCAGAATCTCCTTGGGGGAGTGTGGCTGAGGGGAAAGACCTTCGCGCCTTCTGTAGTCATCCCAGAGTACTTTTTTTAGAAAAATCCATTCTCTTCAGTGCTTCCAAGTTTCTTGTTTATGTTCTTGAGCTTCTCTGGTAGAAATGCCACGGTTGAGAAAGATCAGCCTTTGCATCTATGGGCTCTCAGCTTCAGGCACAGGTCCAACCGGTTGCTGACTGAATGGATAATTCCAGAAAGTTCCAAAGAGCACAACTTGAATGAGCCATGTGCTGCACACACTGCCCCTGTGTGAACGAGGCAGTGCAGGCTGTGTGCCGAGGGCTACCTGGAGCTTGGGGTGATGCAAAGCACACCCGCTAGGGGGTGTGCATGGGTAATGGGGACTTGAGCCCTCTGCATTCTGCTGCGCCTGTGGGGCTCCTGGAAGCCACCCTGTGTTGGTCCAGATCAGTGGGAATTTTTAAGTGAAGAGGGGCATTTTATATGGACATTGCGCATCAGTGTCGTGAACTGCCCTTAGCACCAGTGTGATGAACAATATTCACCAAGGCTGAGTGTGTCTGCATTCAGCCCTTACCTGTTTGCACTTGGGGAAAGCAGGAACCATTATTTCATCTTGAAGAGCACACAGGGTGTCAGGGAATTCAGGTGGAGACCGTGTTGGTCCCTTAGGTAGGCACCAAGTAACTGAGAGTGTCAGAGGGTTGAGCTGTCACATGGCTGCAGCAGGAAAGGAAGCGAAGCTCAGTCTGGAATGGGAACATGTGTGTGGAGACAGGAGTCCTCAGGCCAAGGCCCCGCCAGGGCCACTGCAGAGGGGCACAGAGACTGAGGTCCCCAGGGCTCTGTAAACTTGGCAGTGAGCTCAGGGACTGGATCCAGTAAGGCTGTAGAAGGACTTCACAATGCATCAGAGGAGGGGAGTCGTATGGCGGCAGGCTGTTTCCTTGTGCAGGACCAACGTGGTTCGCATAGCATTCTGCTCCTGCCCCCGGACACCTGCAACACAGGCTGCGGGTCCCTGGCTGTCCCTACCTGCTGGCTCTGATGCTGCCACCTTCTGAAGCACAGTGGGAAGAGAGTGGCTGAATGTGAGGCTGTTATGTCACCTTAGCGATGACACTCACACGCATCCTGCCTCTGACTGAGGCCCAGCAGTGGATCACCAGGCAGAGGTGTAGCACCCTCTCGAGGCCACGGGAGTCCCTTTGTAGGGCAGGTGGCGGGTGTGATGCTCAGGATCTAAGATGTCTCAGAGTGCCTGGATCATGGGGAGGCCACACGCCTCAGGAGACTCACCCGTGGGTGAGCTCAGGGTTGACTGCACTGTGAGAGGCAGGTTTGGTGGACATGCTCCATGGGGTGTGACCCGGAAGGGCCTGTCGCCCTCCTGAGCCCCTCCCTTCTCTCTTGACTTCCTCCAAGGCACCTTTCCACCATATTTCTGCCTTGGAGCCACCTGACCATGGACTGGGACCCCAAGCTGGGAGCCAGGCTAAGCCTTTCTTCCTTTACATGGGGGTGTCGGGGATTGCACACCGGGTACAGGCAAGCTCGCTTATGCGGGGGGCTCGAGACTCACCTGCCTTCCTGTCTAGTAGCACGCTTTGTGCAGGATGGCTTACTTACATCTTTTTGACAGTAGGACAGTAGTTTAAAGGCTCATGTGGTTGTGATGAGCTGGTCTTGGGAACTCATAGTGTGGCAGGAGAGAACTGGGGGTCAGGAAGAAATGGGCCAATGGGACTACCTGCATGGACAAATCACCGGCGAAAGCCCCTGCACTTCTTTCCTTGTGGGTGAGAGCTTTCCTTTCTTTTCAAAGATACCATACTTTTGGCTTTGAACATTTTCACCCTCGCAAAAAAAATGCTCCAAAGTCATTTTCTCTGAGGTGACAGTACTGAGAGGGTGCCTGCTGTTGGCGAGGTCCTGGTGCCCTGCCTTCCACCTGACCCAGAAACTGACCTGCTGTTGGCGAGGTCCTGGTGCCCTGCCTTCCACCTGACCCAGAAACGGAGAGGCCTCCAGAGCCAGTGCCTGGGGAAGTTAGCATTTCAGGACGCTGCCTGCTTGAAGGTGAACCTCGGGGAGCTTCTGTCTGACAGACTCCTGCCAGCTGCAGGATACACCGATCGACAGCACCCTTGGGAGAGGGCAGAGCTTGTGTGGTGGGCACAGTAGGGGCCTGGCACTTGCCCTGGCTCGTTCCGCAACCCTGGACAACCTGGAGGAGCGACACATGGCCAGCAAGGAGGGGCTGGCTCCCCATTCCTTCTACCACAGTGCTTTGTTATGAGGCATCACATGAAGGCAGCGAGGAGGTTTGGGGGCAACAGACGGAAACGCGCCCGCGGCCTCTTCGAGATCGATGCCGGTGTCATGGCAGCCGCGCTGGTGGCCGGCTCGGTGCAGTGCCCAGGTGCGGCTCCACTGCGGCGAGATCGATTCTCCTCGTCCTCTCCCTAGGAGAGCGCGGCGCAGCTCCTCCGAAGCCTTTGTTTCATTTTCCTGACAAGGGTGAAGCTGTGTTTTAATTCTCAGGCAGAATGCAGTCCTGAGTCCTGTCTGTGTTCTGCTCCTTTCCTTTGTGTGTGCTTTGAACACACCTGTGCTGCGGAGACCCCGTGCGTCGGCCGTGATTGAGCCACAGCTGGGGCCTGCACGAACTCGGCCACCTGAGGACAGACGCTAACGCACGCTCGGGCCACGGACCACACTCGTGGAAATGTTCCAGTGGCTTCCTACTGTTTGCTGAACGAGCTACGTATTAATTTATTCATGTATTCAATGACATATGTCAACTATTTGTTGACCGCTAGGTTTGGGGTGAATCAGGAAGGGCTAGACAAAAATCACTGCCTGTGGGGCACTGACAGTCTACCGACAGCCGCAGTGAAGAGGGGGACGTCGGGGGCAGGGTGTGCCGGGTTCTGGGAGGGGTGAGGTGTGCTCAGAGACGTCGGGGTGGTGGCTGGAGTTCTGTGGGATCCACGGTGTAGTGGGGCTGGGGTGGTCCTGAAGGGAATGTCTGGGCAGACTTGGAGACAATCACAGCCTAAAATGTGTGGTAGACCAAGGGGCAGTCAGGGCAGAAGCCCTGGGGCAGCAGTGGCTTGGGGTGCGTGGAGTCACCAGGGCATAGTGCAGAAGGGCACGAGGAAAAAGGCGAGGTCACAGCGCAGAGCACGGACGGGGCGCCCTCCAGGGGCCTGTCTCCTGCTTTATGTGATGAGCGTCCTGCTCAGGACCTGTGTGTGTGGGGCTGGGCACAGCGCTGCCGTCTGGGAGACCCAGGTAATAACCCAGGGGACGGATCTGTGCCTGGGAGTCAGGTTCCCGTTGCATTCCTGAGGCAGAACCAGCAGGTGGGCCACACGCCTTGAAGAGGACGTGGCAGACAGGTGCTGGGAGGACTGTCCATCCCGGGCCAAGTGCTTGGATCCTCCAGTGACGGTGCCCTAGGAGAGGGGAGGCCGCAGGTGAGAGGGCTGGGGCAGGGGGGAGGAACAGAAGCGCAGCTCAGAACCCCGTCGGTGTGACTTGGGGGACCCACAGGAGGCCTAGGACGGATTTCTTCAGGAGCCTGAGTGTACCTGAAGGGACGTGTCAGTTTAAGCATTTTGGTGGCACTGGGGACACTGAGGTTGGTGGCAGTGAGCTTTGGTGAGAGAACACAGCTGGAGGTGCCCAAAGGCCAGCACCCAGCCTGGACCTTACCTCCGAGAAGCCAGAGGGATGGAAACAGAGTCCTCCAGATGGGGGGCTCTGAGTGTGGCCCCGGCAGGGGGAATGTGCCAGAGTGGGGCGTGAGTAAAATAAGGCGTAGGTGGGCAGCTGACCTCTGGATTTAGCGTGTGTCATGGGGACATCGGGGGAGTGGTACGGGAGGGCTCCGGGGGACCTGGAGGGGACACTGGAGCCCGAGTCCAGGCAGCTCTTGTGGAAGACACAGCAGGAGGGCAGTGTGAGCCAGAGGTGTCCTCAGTAGGGCCTGATGGGAACAGCCCACACTTGGGGAAGCCGACAGCTGTGTTCTCCAGCACCTGAGGGAGGAGCCTCAGGGCCAGTCCTGGCAGCTCGTCCATGGTCACAAAGCCTGTTTCTGTAACCTTCCTTGGATGTCTCTTTCTCTCTCTCTCTCCCTCCCTCCCTCTTTCTCTCCCCCCTTCTCTCCCCCCATCTCCTCCCTCCCAGTCTCACTTTCTGTCTGTGTAATGTCTATTGGCAGTCCAGGCCCCCTTCTTTGAAGAGCCTGGCATTAGGAAATGGTATCTCGAGGTTTAGACTTTGTAAGTGGCAGCATTTTGTGGCGAGCTCTGATACTCCCATCCGCCTCGTGGTTCACGAGCAGCCATCCTAAGGGCAATTTTTAATGGACACGCAAGCACGGAAAAGGACACCGCTGTGGCCAGAACTCCAGGGCATTTCATAGTCTAACAAAGGATTTCAAATGTTTAATGCACTGCTTTGAAGAACAAGCCAACTTATAAACAAGGGCTCAGCACACAAGTAAAAATCACCCCAGAATCCTTTTATTTGGCAACAAAGAACATCTTCTGAGACATTTTTTTCGCCTCTTGTCCTCCACCCCCCGCCTCCTTCCATTCATGGATGCTGGAGCTGGGAGCCTCTGGGCTCTGGGCTTTGGTGGGCAGTGGCCCCTGGAGGCACTGCCACTGGGTGTGGATCCGAGGGGTGGAGTGGGAGTGAGAGGCTGACTGAGAATCACCTGGAGATCTCACACTCCTGCTCTGAAGAAATCATCCTGGTCCACCATGCACGAGGACAGGGCCTCTCCTGAGAGACGCTCAGCTGTTTTCCTTCCTCAGGCTTTGCTTCACATCTTGGTAAACACTTCTCCTTTCTGGGTGGTCAGCGCTGTTGTCTCTGCAGAAATCTGCGCCCCTGACAGAGCTCAGGTTCCTCACCGGCTCTGTGCGCTCCACGTAGTGTGATGCGGGGGACAACTCGGATGGG